TATTTATAGTGATGTATATAATCGAGTTAAAGATCGTGTACAATTAGCATGATTATAGAAGTAAAGGTACGCGTATATGCATAACTTACATAACTAATAAATACAAATATAAATATGTATTTCCAATTACAGAAACCAAATTTCATTTGGTTATTCGAAATACTTCCCTTTACTGATATCATATTACATTATACTAAATCCTGAATAAACACGGAATAGGTGAAAATAAATATAATTTGCAAAAATAAATGTATTTTGCCATAAAAGTTAAAAAAAATTTTAAGCGTTATTAAAAAGTCTTAAATACTACTGTATGAAAAATTACAAAAATTGTGCATAAATAGAAATTTTAAATATAATATATAAAACTATGTGACTATTACCTACTTTCAAATATAAGATGTTAAATATACCTAAGTTATATAATAAGACAAAAATAAAAATGTTTTAAAATAAATATGGCGAAAAAATATATTTAAATATTATTTATATAAAAAATTGTGAATTTATTATATATATGATAATAATTTTGGTCATTTGAAAATTATAAAACTTTTATAGCAATGAATATAAAAATATTTTAAACATTGTTGCATTTATATATACTTATATATAAAAAACAAAAAACAAAAAAAAATTATTTAACTACAAAATTGATTACAATCTTATTTATGTATATTTAACAAAATTATCTAATTCTATTTGAACCAAGATTAATGTATTGTTTAACCTTAAAAGCTTAAAGAGTTTTTGATTGTATTAAATTTTTCTGTAAAAAATTGCTATTCATATAAACGGTCTAATATTTTCTTTTCAATAAAACAATAAATCTTTCAATAATTCTTTCAAATGCGAACATGTTGTCTATCTAGTATTTATTCATAGTGCTTTTATTAGCAAAAATTGCTGAACTAAATTTTTTTCTTTTGATTTTGACCCTTGGATCTATGGCATTATCAGAGATAAAAACTTATATCTAGATATTAGTTGCACTTTTGACATTGAAAAAGCTGCTCAATCATTAAATCAATCTAATGGTGAGAAATCGTAGTATTATCATTATAAAACTATTTTTCACTTTTTTCCAACTGTTACTTCTAACATTTCTTATTATCGCATGAACGCCAATTTATCAAATTGATAAATCTAAATACACGTGCGTGAGCATACAAATATAAAATAGAATTGTACATGCAGCGAAGGTCTCTCACGAAACAAGATATAAATTGACTGTATGACCGATACTCGCCACGCATGCGCTAGTTATGGCTCAACAGTAGTAAAGGAGTCCCATTGCTCTATGTACGCTTACTTTCTAATGAGGTTTCCTAGTGGAAATGCATTTAATACATTTGCAATCTCCGGTGTCATTAGAATTGAGAATAGCCTTAGTGTTACAATCAGAAGTTACAATTCTTTAGTCAAAATACAGACATAGTGATTTGAACGTGATTTCAATTACGAATACTTTAACTTTGTTTTCAAGGATCAATTTATGATTTTTTTGTCATGATAAGATTTATAAACTACTGACTTAAGTCATACACTAAGATACTTTATACAATTATTCCGACAATCATATTACATTACTCGTTACATATTATCTAAGATTTTTTTTAATTATTAAGAAAATTTGGTAAAGTTTGAGTACTTCAATTAATCAATAGTATTACATAATTTTTTGCAGAATAAATTTTATAAAAATAGGTTTCCAGAAGATGTTATTGCTTGATGAGCTGTACTATTGCATTGTTGAATACAATAAGCTTTTGAACTTATTGCTCATTGTATTATAAGAAACGGATAAATAATGTAAATTTCTATTAAATAATTAATTTTGCATTCACTTTTTATTTTGATAATCAACCCAGTCATATTATTTAATTATATTATTAATTTTAAAAGTTACACTTAAACTACTTCAGCATACAAAAAGGATTTACCTTTAATTATTTAAAAATCTTAGGATAACGTAAATTGTAACATGAATTTTATTTCAATGGTTTCTTTATTCAATTTTCTATAAATTTTTTTTAAAAATTATTCAATGTTTTACTTTTTACTTCATACTAATGTAAAATTAAGATTCTCAATATTTAAAAAATAGTAAGGTAATAATTAAAGCAGTAGATAAAGTAGAGTAAGTAATAAACCATAAAGAGTATAAGGAGCACAGATAATTTTATCTCTACTATTTTTGGTAAATTAGTCAACAATTGCTCTATTTATTCTCTTAATAGTATTCTATTACATATTCTGACATGTACAATAATTTCAAGTCAAAAGTTTCCCAAAATCGCATTATACATCAGCCTTGATTCATTCAAGGCTCATTTACTGTGATAGCTAACAAAATGTTCTTGAGTTAGTCGAGGAGGGAGGGGGGTCACCAACTTTTAACAAACGTATAACGAAGATGCAATAAAGAGATAGTATAAATATTTAACGCCGGGTACTTGCTCTTGTAGATAGTTACATTTGGCAGATGGATATTGTGTAAACGATGAATTTCCTATACTTATTTAGAGCTGACCCTATTGCGTCACGCTATTTTAAGATCGACGTCAAGGGTCGTATTTTTGTTTATATTCAGTCAATGGTTATCGATAGAACGTTAATGTTTCTTTTGTTTTGACTTTATAAATGTTGACAGAAAACCTATTCTGTCTAGCTTCCTTTATACATTTTTATATTTATTGTATTAATAAGTATACATTTAAGATCAGGTTTCTGTAACTGATATAATTAATAAAATATTCACAAGATCAATTTCTACGTTTTATATATTTTTATTAAATGAAGGCTTTTATGGCAGTACTTTAGTATCAAGCTTATATTAATTAGCTTATTTTCATTTTAGGCGAATAAATGTAGTAAATAGTATTATGTATGTATATATTTTTTAATTTTTATTAAATTTATTCTTACTTTCATACTTTCAAAAATTACAAATTATATTAATCCATTATTATACAAATATTACGAAAGTTAATTTATAATTTTCAAGCATTTAAATAATATTAACAGAATTAAAAAACAAAATGTAAATCATTTTTTTGTAATCTCTTCATGCTGTACCTGCTAACATAACAATCTTCATAATTTTTATAATAAAAAAATTGTGTATAGGAATATAATTTCGTATATAGTAAATTATTCTAAATTTATGGAAATATATTTCAAGGACTATAAAAAAAGGCAATGATTTTTTGAAGTAATATATTTTATATAACAAATTAAAAATGTGACATACTTATTTTTGGAAAATTAATTTTTTTTAATTTTTCATTTAATACTAATAATTAATATTTTTAAATTGTGATTTAACCGATAATGTATTACCTCAGAGGTGCAAAAATATAATTTAAATAATTATAAATAAATTAAAAAAAAGAATTTTATTATTAAAAGAATTATACATTAAAAAGAATTATAAATTAATAATACTTATTAAAAAAGTCTATTAATGCATGTTTTAAATTATTAAATAAAATACGCTTTAATTTTAATTTATATAATTTATCAATAAATTCAATCTTATACCATATTATGTTTAATGATGTTTTGTTAGACATTTCTCAAAAATATAAATTTTAATAGTTTGAGCGTAAAAATTAAACTTGCAAAAGGTAAAACCATGAATTTGTGGAATTTGTTAAGCAATATATTATCTCTCTCTCTCTCTCTCTCTCTCTCTCTCTCTCTATATATATATATATATATATATATATATATATATATATATATATTTCTGTCTCTTTCGCCATCTCTGATTTGGCACTTCAGTACCTATTTTTTAATTCTTTATTACGGATGCAGATATCTATAGGAGCATAGGATAGTGTCAGAATCCATAAGCACAAAAGAACGATCTATAGCCTCGTGAAAATTCGATGTTACTCAGTATTTTTTTCTAGACAAGAATCCTATTTATAACTTAAACATTTACGTTTCTAATGATATTTTTTTCTTTTTCTTCATTTACTGTTGTTATATATTTTTTTCTAAAACTATGTGATTGGACAATAACAAAAGTGATTACCTATAATTTAAAGCAGTAGTATCTTTCATTTAACTAGTTAGTATTTAAAATATGTAGACAGATATTCTATGGATTCTGTAAATTCGTTTTTTTATATAAATTTAGCGCTTCTTTATGTTTCAAAATTATTTTTTTATATACAATATACGTAACTTTTTATCACATAAATCTAAATTATCAGAGTATTTTTTGCATTTCTGTAGATTATTTACTTTTTTATATGATTCATTCATTGTAATATTAAATATTCGCATTATAATTTGATAATTTGCACAAACTTTAATAACCATTTTCTTTTTACAACAAAAATGTTAAATTTAGAAAATTTTAATTATTTCATGTTATATAATTTTTTACTTTGAAAATTAAATTATAGAAATTTTATTAATTATTTTTCTTATATTAAATATCACATGGTTATAATAATGGTAATGTAGATATAGTGAATTAAAATATTAATATAATATAATTTTTATGCACAAATTTTCATGCAAAAAAATAAACTATATATTTATATATATGTATATAAGGTTTAAAATAGAAACAGAATTATCTAAAATTCCTTATAATTATAACAACAAATAATTGTCTAAGCACTAAAATATGAGAAAAGGGCTAACTAGTTTTAATAAAATAATAAAAAATTTTCAGTACAAATTCTAGTGTAAACTATGAAATATATCTTGCAAATTTTAATAATTTAAAAAAATTTTATTAATGAAAACGAATAAATTGTAAAGAGTTTTATTAGGACTTTTTTAAAAATTTAAGACTTATAAAAATAATTATTTGCTTTGAATTAATTGTGTAATTGAAAATATCATGCGTTTGGCCGCAGAATTAAGGAAAATAGTAATTAAAGCCATAGATCTTAATAGGTGCACAGTACAGTTTTGGGTTTTGGTAAATGCAAAAAGCGAATAAGCATAAAATTAAGTAAATAAGATCGAGTACATACGCTCGCTCGATGGGTGGCTCGGTCTCTTTCAACCTGCAATGTAAGTATCAGATCCGTAAAGCAGTTGAATCACACAATATAACATTGGGCAATATGAAAAAATAACTTTTCGTTCTAAGGAAGACATTATATAATTTTATATATGTTTATATAATAATTATTAATTTACTTCTATTTGTATTTATTTATAACATAGTTCAGTAGTGATTGCAGAACTACTTTAAAAATCCTATTAAATGAAATTTTTCAACTATTTGTAATGAATTTTTTTTTCTACTAGACTATAAATAGTTTTGCTGATGTTAAAGTTTCGAAAATTTGTGATTATTTAATCAAACTTTGCAGACAAATATTTTATTACAGAATATATAAATTAAATTTTTACATAGATTATATAATACTAGATAATACTATTTAAAATGTTGATTACTGATATTCTAATATTTTTATTTATCATCTTTTGTTGACTCTGTTATTATTTAATAAATCATATATCAAGTAAATTTATATATATATTTATAAATATTAATTCTTTTATGTACTTAATATACTTAACTTATATAATGCTTATTTATATCTATATAACTGTACATACTTAATTTTTTCATAGTAAGAATACACTCGATTGTAATTGTAGTATTTTTTATTGTAATACCAGTAGTTTAATTGCACTAATTTTTAACTTTAACGTATTTCTTCTTCTTTAGATTACATATATTTCATTGAGGTACCTATAAATGATACTTGAAAATTCTGCAAATGATACCAGAATCCTTCACCATATATTCACGTATATTTTTCAAACGCTGAATAGACCATTCTTAATTTTATTAATAGAATGATCATGCATAATATACATTAGCTATAATATAAACATTAATATAACCACTAATTTACAATGATTATAGCAATGCAATTAAGTATTTCTAGAATTTAATGAATTATTATTTCTAAATTTAAAACATATGTTAATATTAGTAAAAATAATTACTGGTTTAGATACTATCATAATAGTTTCTGTTAATACATGCTTCCAAAAAGTAATCGATAGAGAACAAGTAAAAAGTTTTCTGATTTAGTAATTATAAGATTAATATATGTTATTATTATAAATCTTCCAAAAATATTATTTTTTAATTGAAATCTACGCATATACATAAGTTTATTCAAAATATAAAACCTTTAAAAATCATTAATAGTTAAAAATTTATTGTTAAAAAGTACAATAATTTGCTTTATTATTCTAATGCATATATTTATTATATAACTGTATTATACATAAATAAAATACAAATTTAATGCAACAAATAATTCTAACGAAAATTCATAAATGATATAATTCATATAGTAAATATAGAATAAAATTTTTAATTAATTAATATGTTTTTATTATGTAAAATAGGTAGCTAAAATATATTAAATTTATGTAAATTTTATTTAAGTCTATCTATAACGAACAATGCTAACCATGTATATTAAATATTTTTAAATTTTAACATTTTTCTTAATATTCCTTAGAATAATAATTTTTATCATTTAGTATAAGATGTTTTTAAATTATGTATTAGAACATATGATATATGTATACTTTAGTAAATGTGCTTAATTCATGTTATATACCAGACATTCGAAATAATTTTAAATAAAAATTTTCAAATATTTTTAAAGTTGTTATATATAATACTTTTACATAAGTACTTTATAATATTATTATCGTTAATAAAATTAAAATAGTTGACTTAAATTTTCTGTATGCTATAGATGCAAGTACTTAATATTTTTATCAAAAGTAAATAAAAAACTGTGCTTATTGACTATTATTATTGCTTTTATTAGTAATTCAAATTTTAATTATGCATCGTCGGGTATTTTTGTCGAAAATGAAAGTATTACATTTTATTTGAAATTAGACTTAAATTAAATTGAAGTACTTTTAAAATAATTTTGAATAATGAATTATATATTTTCGTTTTTACAATTTTCTTAAATAATAACAAGATTCTATTTATTTAAATTAATATTATAATTTATAATTAATTTTAATATTGAAAAATTATTATTGTATAAGTCACTAGAATGTTCAACAAATTAAATCAAGTTAAAAAAAAAATAATTACATGTAAATAAAAATATCATTATATATGTAATAATATTTTATTCGTTTTTAATATTTATAGGTTTATAAAATTTTGCTATGCAATTTTTAGAAGTTGAAAATAGTCTACCTATAATAGATATAGAAATTTATTAGTTTCTTTAATATAAAATTGCAATAATTGAATTTTATGTATTGATGCTTTTTTTTTTTAATAATCGCTATATACAAATAATATTTGCAATACTGTAAATAAAGTAAATATAATGATGATCTTGTATTTGATTAGATAAGAATAAAATAATATTACGCGTTTTAAACTGATAATTGAACTCATTACCTTATACAAGAAAAGGATCGGTTTCCGAGTTGACAAATATCCGCAAAAATCAAAGGACTTTCTTTAATGCTTACCTTTCACTAGCAATTGAACTATTACGGGACATAGATTTTGGCGACATTTCGAAATCGCTGTCACTACGATAGAGGAAGCTTTCGCGTCTTTGTGGCATCGCCTGGAGTACCAGACCTGTACTCGGCGATGTACCACCTCCTCCACCAGTGGCACCATCCAACGCTGAAGCGCCATTTTCGACATCGAAACTACATAGGAATAGAAAATACCACAGCAGTGATTAAACAACTATTATCTGATATACTTTGTCATAAAATATTTTACACTTATGTAACATGCTTTGCAGTACGCACGTACTAATTATGTTGCTTTTCTTAAATTTTAGCAACATGTTGATTTTACAATTGCATTCAATATCAATTCAATATTTGACATAGTTCAATTATAGAACTAACTCAAAGCTTCAAAGTAAATTTTTAAATCAACTTATTTTTTACGTGATTCTATACAATTTCGAGTTTAATAAAGGTCATGCGTGTGTAAAATATTTCATAAGATTTTAAATTACATTGATCAATATAAATATTAAAAATATATTAATAAAACTTAATATACGATAGATTTTTTGTTCGATGAAATAATAAAATGCATTATTATTATTTTATTTTTATTGCTATTTATTATTTTTTTCAATCGAAATAAATTAAAATATTTCAACATTTCCTTTTGATATTTTAGAACTTTTTTTATAATTTTCGAGATATCTAAAGGAAACTTCAACAGATAATTAATTTGTTCGCTTTTTAATTTGGTTTTTTATTCGTACATATAAAATATCACAAATAAAATGAAATATTCAGTTCCTTAATTAGCTTGAAAATTAAATTGATTTTAATTTAAAAATAATACGTATGGGTATTTCAAAGGATTATATAAAATGTTAATTTATTATTAAAATAAAGCTTATATAAATTAAAATAAATTCTGTAAAACAAATTTACATAGATCATTTAAAACTACATTTGAAACCAACAGTATTTTACTTACTTTAATACATATGATTCATTATTATGATTATATTTATAAAAATTCGGAATCATAGAGTTAATATTGAATTAATTGTTTCAATATTACCTTAAATTAACATTATTTATTAAAATAGGTTCTATTAAAAAATTTAATATATTCATTAAAATACTAATTTCAACGCAAAAATGAAATATCTTTCTTAATTATGCCATTAATATAAATCAAAAGTATTCATTATGTATATTTAGAAAAAATTTCATGATAATAACAATATTTACATAGTTCATATTAATAATGAAAAAAAACAGGATAATTGAAATTAAATAAAAATACTTAGATTTGTTCGAATTGATGAATTTCTTTTCTTTTATTCGAAATTAATGACTAGGAAGGGTACAAAATAATATAAAATATAACGAAAATTATTAAAACGTACACGTATCAAAAATATTAATATATTAATTATAAAATGTTTAATTTCTTACAAATAAAATAAAAGCATCATGATATTAATTATTATATTTGAAGCATATTAAAAGAATTCTATAGTTCTTTTTAATACAGAATATTAATGAAAAAGCTTAAAAATAAACTCAGAATTTTGTAATATTCAAACTTAATTTCTTAGAAAGGAGCATTACTTACTTCTCATAAATATACCTATCGATTACTCAATTTTTGGACGTGGTTTAAAAAAAATTCTGAAGTTTAGACAATTTTGTAATAACTATATAAAATACATATAAATACAATACTTTTAACATTTATTTAACAAGAATTTAAAATGTAAATGTTATTTGTTTAAAGATTATTGTAAATAAATAAATAAATATAAATATACACATATATATATATATATATATATATATATATATATATATATATATATATATATATATATATATATATATATATGTATGTATGTATGTATATATAGGCATGAGCATGCATGTACGTGCATGTGTGTGTATAACTGTAAATTACTTTGAAGATTGATAATAAGTATTAATAAGTAAATATTATATGATTTTATAGCTACTAAAATTTGATTAATAATTGTGATTTTTAATTTTCCACTTTTTATTGAAAGAAATATTTTTTCACAATAATTTTGTTTAACAAATTTATCCATTTATCTAAGTAAGAGTAAAGTAAATGTATTTCATTAAATAAGTTTGACAGACTCAATAAAATTTGATGGGATTTTTTAAATATGATCGAAAACTTTCAAGTCGTCAATGCACTGTTACAAAATATACAAAAAATGCAAAATATATCGAAATATATATCGAAAATATATCGTGATACAGAAATATTATAGATAAAATAAAATTAATATGAATCGCGAAAAAATTTTGTTTGTTTTCTGTTGTTTGTAATAAACAGTAGATTATTTTAAAATATTACAGATATACTTTATAAATTATAAACTGCAGATTTTATATATTATTTCAAGAGATTATTATAAAATAATATATATAAAAATACGTATGCAATGACAAAATTTTCACATTATTGTTTAATGATTTAATGATTTTTAAATCATATGTACAATACAACAATGTTGGGTTTTCGGTAATTTATACTCTTAATTATTGAATTTAATGAATATTTACATTTTTCAATAATATCTTTTGATAAACATTAAAACGTAAGACATGTGTTCATTGATTAAAATTTCTGTTTTAATATTTTAATTATTCTTTCTATATTCCATAAGTAAATAGAGTCATGTTATCATTAAATTATTAAAAAAAAATTGTATATACAAAAAATGAATAATTTATTTAATCTGTTATAATTTATCAATAAAAAATTTATACTGTAATTTTTAAATATTACAATGAAATATTAGAATAAAATAGTTTTAAATATTAGAATATAATCAAACTGTTTCTCAAAAAATCTTAGACTATATGTTGATATAAATCACTGAGATTCTACAGAACCAAAATCTAATAATAAGTATTTATAATAGAGTACAATAGAATTTACAAAATAAAATGACTGTAATCGTAATTAAGAACTTTGGATAATTCTGAATTATAATATTAATTATTTTGAGATTAACGTTTAATATTTTAATTAGTTAATCTTATCTAAGATAATTTTTATAGATTAACTATTTTTAGTCTCTTTCATTTGATATCTTACTTTAATTACTATCAAATATTTCAATATTTTTATATAATACATTGTACATATCTATTATCTAGTACTATTAATTAATTTCTGAAATTAATATTAAGTTCAATTCGTAAATTGTCGTAATTAACATTTTTTGTTTTAAGGATTATCACATAAATTATAGATTATCATAGAATTATCGTATAGTTTTAAGATATACCACTCGAAGTATCATGAAATTAATAAATAAAATAAATAATTTTAGTCACAGCAAAACCAATATTCAGACTAATAAGTTCAAGGTAATGAACAGGTAATGATTACTGACTACTAAGAAAAGTACTTAGAAAATAGTGCCAGGTACATTACTATATACTATGTTAATATATTAATAGTATAAATGGAAAGGGAAGAAATGAAGCAACAAGCATTTACTCATTTTGAACAAGTTAAAATGACGTACATCTAGTAGTAGCAGTAGCTATATAGACAGACATGGAATGTAACTTATTCCATTTCATTGGTACAAAAGCACATTAAAATGCTATAAACTAAAGTCAATGATTTTTCTAAAAAGGAAACTCGATCTCATACTCGATTCTGCAACTTCTTGATTTACTATTTAAATTTCCTACTATTTTCGTTTAATATTTTACCATTTTTATTATAAATAAACGTATTTAAAATATACTACTTTAAATTCTTATAGACCTTAAATATATTTTTGAGTAGAGACCGTTGTCTGGTTTTTTATGATAATTTCAGTAGATTCATTAATAATTTATAGTTTAGTATAAATAGAAAAATTATTAAAGTATTTAACTGAATTAACTTAATATCAGTTTGCCAAAATTTTTCATAACATATTATTAATTAACTATAATAAAAACAAAATACTTATATTATTTACAAAAATTATTAGCCTTATAATAATTACTATAATTATTATCATTTTCAATCAAAATAAACAAGTCAATATATTAATACGAAAATAAAAATTCTAATATCCTTATAGTTATTTTATTATATTTATTATACAATATACTTATTTTAACCACAATTACATAAAATCAAAATTGTATTATTTAATTTCATTAATTTTTAAGTTCTAAAATTGCTTCTTCAGAATTATAACTAACGAACTAACACTTAAATACTTGAAGTATTTTAACCGAGGAAAAAACAAGAAAGTTTACATTTCTATGTTAAACTATTCTTTTTTTATTTTAGTAATACATTTATATAAGTTTAAAAATTTGATAAGAATTATGAAATTATAAATTTTCATAATGTATAACATTATAATCCAATAATTAAATGAACGTAATACATGAGTATAATAATAGTTTTAGATCCATTCTAAATTTAGAATATAATACAGTGGCAGCTATTAAGGAGCACTTATTAATATTATTAATATATATTTTTATTAATATATTAAACTGAGGATAAAAATTTGAAAAAAGTCATAAGTCAAGATCTAAATGACGAAGAATCGAATTAGTGAATTTCTGTTTTCAGTAAGACAAGTTTTCGAATTCAGAAAATAAGAGCATATTCAGTACAATAAGATATAGATTATGGTATAAATAATCCGAATAATAAATATTCTGAAATATTCCAATATTTATTCTAATATTTCATAAATATTATATTTAATATAATTAATATTATATTTGATGATATATTCCATAAATATATCATCAAATATTCCATAATTTATTTTTAAAATGAATACATTAAATATTAAAATAAAAAATTTGAAATAGTATAGAAAATATACACTGTGACATTTATAATTATTTATTAAATTATTTCTATGTATATCCGTACAAATATTCATTTCAAATAATTTTTTCACGTTTTATAACTTTAAAAATGATGAGTATAATATACCAGGAAATATTATATTGATTCGACGGAAATGAATATATTATTCTAATTCATTTTTTTCCTATAAAAATACTTGTATCATTAATATTACAAATTAATGTTTGAATGTTACATTATAGATCGAAGGAATTAGTAAATTTATTTTTAATAGAAAATTTTAAAAGTTTTCATGCAAATTGCAAAATAAATTATAATAAAGTTATATGCATATAGAAATTGAAACGTACATCAATTATTAAAATAATTAAAATTATAACTATGGAATTTTAATATTTAAAACTTTCTAATTATGATAATACGTTTAACCAAATATATTTTATATTTTTTTCGATATACGTATATAAGCCAGTTAAAAGTATCTTAAGAATTATAAACTGCATGTTGAAATATTGAAAATTAAATTAATTCATAGATAATATTAAATGAATAATTTCATTTTTAGTATAGTAAACTGTTTTTTATTATATTTATTATATTATCTAATTGATATATGCATACACACATACACACACACACATATATATCAAAGTATTTAAATATTTAGTATTTATTTATAAAGCTATAGTAAAAATAACAATAATGAGAGTTAATAATTTAAGTGTGCTCAAAAAGTGTTTATGTATTGAAAATTGATTAAGTGCACCATGGATCTACTACATATTATTAACTAAATTTATAATAAAAAGTACATTTTTTCAAAAAGGTGGATCGATTTTGGGAAAGTTTTCTATTAGAATTCTTTTATAAAGTAACAATATAAAATATTCATGAAATATTATCATTGTATAATATAAAAATTATTCCATTTTAAGAGAAAATGTATGATTAATATTAAATTATAGTATTTATAAAATATAGTTCTGTTAATCTCCATTAAATCGATCATATACGCAATCAATTAAATATTATTATATTTTGTAAAATAAATATAATATAAAAATTACAACATTTTAAATACAACTTAAATTATAGAAATATAATATATTTAGTACAAAATATTTTAAAAAGTAAATACAATAAACAATAATTTTATGAAAATATGAAGACATTAAGAATTTAATTTAACTATAAATGAATCTAACTGTTAACATATGACTTACAATATTTCTTTAAGTTGGTAATTTTTCATGTATTGGGTTTTATTATTATAAATGTGGTTCAACCTATATATAAATTACCTATATATAAATTGCATAAATTTCACAAATTTAATCCATATTAACTAACGTAATTTGTTCCAAATACGTACTATAATTTTATACTTATGCTTACGTATTAAAATTGACTCTCATGAGTGTAGTATACAGTATTTTATTAATGAACTAATATATCAAATAGTTGTGCTACCATTAAAATATTTTCTATCTCCATTTATTCATATAAATATTCAATAAAAATAATTAACGGAACTGAATTTGATTAAATATCATTTAACAATAATGGCTTGATTCACTTGCATCACTATTAAATAATTCTTCTTATGAAATAATAATATTAAAAGAAAATTATGAATAAATATATTTGAATTCCAAATTATTTTAAAAATGAAAAACCGATATAAAGATTAGATCTGCATTGTCTGTAGAAATTGTGATTCTATAAATTTCTACTCACTCGGAAATTGGAGATTCACTTTGTACCAACACCAACCTCGGCAAGACGATGGCCTTCTTCCTCCGTGATTTGAGTGTTTGACCCAGTGCAAAGGCCTGTTGTACATCTGGTGCAGTTAATGGTGAATGTGGACTTAATATAGTAATACGTCTATCGCTACCACCGGGACTCGTTAATGATATAAAATTATTGGCTCCAGGTAAACTTAGATGCTGAAGTTTATTTCTATCCATTGCAGCAAATAATCCCCTCCTAATCTCAGCTTTAAGACTTTCCTCGCGATGAAGATTCTCATTGCTTTTGGATTCAACCGCATGAATTCTTCTAACATCTAATTTTGAAGAGGTTAAAAAACTTCTATGATGACCTTTATTAGAACTCGAAGTGATTTGGGACTCAGTGCTCGCATAAAGTGATTCCAAGGAACGTGAGTCTTCAACGTAATCTGACTCTGGCTCATGTAAGTTGCGCAATGTTTTCAATGATTCCATTGATCTAGCAGTTACTTGGCCCGCACTTTCAGTAGCTACTAGAAGATTTTTTTTATTTTGTGCATGAAGCGGTTTGTTCTCTAGCTCGTAGTCTTCTTGGCTGGAGCTTGAATGCGGACTTCTAGTGGTCATCGTGAACAGTCCTGGTCTACCTCCACGATACTTCATAAGTGTAAATGAAGAACCCTCACAATTATGTGAAAGATTACGTATCATTGAGTGAGATTGATTGTTTGAAGGTGATTTGTGAATCGTACCATCAACTGTCTGCGAACCACCAAATACGGGATATATTTGAAGTACATTTGACTTTGTTTCCTCGTCTTTGGGGATTTCTTCAACCTCATTTTCTGAAGAGGAAGTAATTTTGTCAGCGCCTTCTGCTGATTTATTTCCTTGATAAGTGTACTTGCTCAGTACTTTTTTATTATTAATAGTGTCTACACTGCCCTTATTATCGTTTATATCTTCTGGTTCTTCGTTTTCCATATCGATATTTTTATCGCGCTAATGCTATCAATAATTTAATAAAAGCGGACGGATAACCTCAGATAAATATATATCAGAGAGTTAGAGAGCACGTTTGCTTTATTTGACCGAATCAAACAGCTACTAATTATCTAGAATTCGTTGTTGATTTGATAAACCAGAATTTTCGCTTTCATGAGCTCAAGCATCGTTAAGGCACTGCTTTTAGTGGATAACGCCCCATCTATGCCGCATTTGTGCGTTGATGATTCTGTCCTTGCAGATGTTTCCGCTGCTTCACAACTAGAAAGTGAATTAACTCTTGATGCTTAGAGTCATTTATAACGTGTTGTAAACCAAGCCTAATTCAAACTGAATAATGTGATAATGTGTACGTTTCGATATCGTCATATGATATTAAGCGTTCGAATTCATTTGTTATTATGGAGCTAATTATACAATAAAATTTCCTACAATTCCTCGATAATAAATCGCAATATTTCCATTGATATTATTCATTCTTTGATCTCAACATTCTTTTTATGCGTTTTTTATGTGTAATTTATGTAGATAAAAAGTCACTGAATACGATTTATTTCTAATTTTATATTAAAATAAAAATTGAATTTCTTTTAAATGGGTTAATTTTTATTAAAAAACTTAATTGTTTCAGAATCTCATTTCTATTATATGTTTCCTTATTCATAGATATAGTAATTATTTATCTTTTTTTTACATTAGTTATCTTTTTTCACATCTTAAATTATAAATTCTTTTAATTTCTAATAATTTCAAAAGGATAAAAATTTATTCAAAACAGTCATTAGTCCAGTTTCAACTAATACAATTGAATCTACTAATAATTGACAATTTTTATGAGGCTATCCATTTATAAGGTAAAGAATATATTAAAATATATTTAGAGACAAATATTAATATAAAATTTAATGGTACAATTTAAGAACTTAATAGTACAGTCATTAAGTATAAATAACAATAAACAACAAAGGAATGATTCGCTGAAAAATAAGTATTTACGGAAATTCAATGGTTTCACACACAATATAATATCTTTTAACTGTGCTATAGACTTAGCTTCATAACACTTCTACATTTTTTTAAATAGAATTGAATAGTAATATTTGTAAAAATAGTATATCAATCGATAACCATATAATCAGAAAATCAGAAGCTATAGAATCAATAACCAAGATCATCAGAATGATGAATCTGTATGTACTACCATCGAGTTATATATGACAAGATATATTTTAGCTTTTATTTTTCAACTTTTTAATTACTTTGAAGTGCAATATATATATACTGTATACTGTGTAGAAATAAAATAACCATAATTATAAAATAATAAAGTTTCTCTTAGTGATTAAAGTTTAATAATTCCAAAGAAATTTTCTAAAAAAATTGCCACATTCACTGTAAGTTTTACTGTTCGTATTTTAATTTTAATTTTTATTTATTATTTATAATGAAATGTTACGGCATTCAGGGTTTGACAAGTAAACTTCAAAATTAATAAAAAATATAATACTTTAAAAATTAAATACAGATTTTTATTTTTTTACATTAACCAATATCAGTAAGTTGTTTTATTCATGGGCTATAGTTTTCTATTCATTGATTTCATTATTTATGGCAAATATTTATTTTGAAAGTATTAGAATCGTTTTATTATATGTAATTCTCTCATTTTTTACTATCTATATTATAAATATCTGTATTACTCATTCAAAAGACTCAAATGTCTAGTTTGCTCACACATAGTGATTGTTACCTTAACGTGATCAATTCTCATACTCAATTATCATGTATCATGCATATTATCAGTATCTTGTAGTTTCGTTTCTTTTTTTCTTTTTTTTCTAACATAATATTTTTCATGATTTTTTATTGATAGATATAATAGATACACTGATATTAATATAATTTATAGATTTATGTATTATTACATATTGCATGTAGATATATATAGTATATAATATCATTATATAGTTATATATGTATTATACTTTTCTACGATTATACTTTTATACTGTAACAAGAATTTTGAAACAAAATATAGATATTGATATTACAGTAAGAAAATATTGACAATAGACTGCATTCATGATGAATTATCGATTACAAAATTAATTATTTTGTAATATATTAGTTTTTTTTCACTGATTTTTACAAGCCTTATATGCATAGAACATAAAATCGTTAGTGTATTAATACTTATTAAATTTATTTACAGTTAAATAATGATAATAATGATAATAATAATAATAATAATTGTTTGATACATATTTATGAATATTACAAACTTATATGCTAATGAAATAATAATAATAAACTAGAGATTGTTAATGAAGTAATATTGTAATAACTGAATATAATAAATAAATGAAGTATTTATTTACATTTTCACATTCTAATATTTTAGAATTATGTAATATATTTTGTAGTTATTAAAATATTATTTTAACTAATATATATCTTTAATAATATACGAATCGTTATTATTAATAATTTTATTAGAAATCTTATAAATATAAACTACTACTAATACGATATTTATTAGATTTATAATATTTAATATTATCTATAAATATTTACTTAAAATTCAATTTATCAGCGTATTAAAAAAAACCACAAAAAAAAAATACTTTATGAAAATCTAATATACTTAAATACTGCAATGAAAAATAGTTAATTTTACAAAATTTTATGCATATATTATGCATTGGAAAAAATCTTCTTTCAATTAATTAATTTTATGTTATTTATTATAAATATCATTTTATATACATAAATACCAATAAACATAATCATACAAATAAAATTTTTTCAAATATAATAAAGATTTATTTCCATTTTAAAAATAATATAACATATTTATAAACTTATAACAACTAATAAACAAACTTTAATACTTGGTTCCTTCAATTTCCTTCAACTTTCATATAATAAACTAGTATGTATAAAATAAAAATTCTGATTACTGATAATAAAGTCTATATTAAATACGTTAAATAAGACCAAAAGTAAAATAGTTTTTTATATATTACATTCTTATATTAGGATATATATATATGCAAAAGTACTTCATTTTAAAACAATATTATCAATAAAAAAAAATAATATTGTACTTATACTGGTAGTAGTTTTATTTAAATATCTACATTTACATTTTTCGTTTATATATATTAATTTCATGAATTATATAAGATTTAAACAAATAAACAATATATATTTAAACATTCTGAATCTCATTACATAGTAAAAATAATAAATTATTAATTATAATAATATTCTACCATAATACCAAAATCAATAGTAAGCCAATTTGTTAAGTATAAGTTAATAAAGATAATAAAGTTATTTATTTTTTTTATAAAATGTACTGGTTAATTACTTGAGTTTGAAAGGAAAAACTACTTTTCTAAGAAAAATGAAAATACTTAAAAAATATTGATTAACAAGGTTTAATATTTACATTATAATTTTTTATTTTGTTTATATTTTACTATAATTGTTCTTTCGTTTAAAAAAATAGCCGTTTTTATTTTCTATTATTCTTGTATCTGTTTTATTTATATTTTTTGCTTAAGTTATCAACATATCCAACTATGAGAAAATATTTTATCGTCAAAAGTAAAAACACCATTAGAAAAAGAGAAAACTTTGAATGCAATCAATAAAAATTTCATAAAAATTATATTTATTATTAAAATGTCGTTTTTTTAGTTTCGTTTAGTATTTTCATTTCAAATTCAAATATTTATAACTAAAAAAAAATTTGTACATAATTTATCGTTCATACATAATTACTACTTAATTAAACAAAATAATATTATTCTATATATGTATATATATATACAATTGCATAATAATAATAATACTTATTTGAAATTAAGTTATATTAGATATTATAAATATAAATTTATGTGAGAAAGTTCGACTACATTGAAATAATATTAAAATAATTTTAGTATTTTATATTATATATTAAAAAATCTTTAATAAGAAAAAAATAATCACTTTTATAAATTATCTTGTTCACTTCATATAAATTTATCTTCTTTCAAAAAATTGAATTTGAATTATTTTCTATACAGATACAGAAATTTTATTTTTATTTTATAGATTCATTTGATTTGCATTTTTTAAAGACAATAATTCAATTGCACAAAAACAGGAAGAAAGGATCATTTTAGTTTAATTTTACGGGATAAATACGGAATAAATACTATTCTAAACACTATAATAAAGAAAGAAATCTGCGTGATTTAATTTGGTGTATATTTTTGGGATTTTGTAAAACATTTATGTAAACATGATTTGATAATATTAAAGCGACATATTTGTAAAGTGCCAATTATAAAATTAATAAGAAACAAAGGAAAGTTACATAAAAAATGGTAAAAAAGAGAATGAAATGTAACTATAAAAATTTCAAATCTGCAACACTATAGAGCACAAGAGAAAGGTACATGAGCAAAGTATCTGTTTTAGAAAATTGAATTCCCTAAATTAAATCTACCATTGCCCATATATCAACCATTTCTTAATTTCCTAAAAGGGAAGTGACTAGGTACAATATAAGAATATGAGATATAAAATATGAAAGATGGACGACTATTAATATCTCACCGTAGCAAATTACATTCCTGTATGTATATATAGCATTAAAATTAATTTTAAATATATTTTAATAAATTAAAACACCTACAGCATCAAATTTAAAATACTTTTATATTATAATAATCTTCAATATGCTTCTGTTGAAATATATCACTTACAAATTTAAATTATATATAATATATTTTAAAAAGTATCTCCGGAAATAGTGAATCTATATTTAATCATATTTACTTTAGATAGATGAGAAGAGAGATAATGTAAAACCGAAAAGTAGATTTTGAATTAAAGCGTGGATGTTTTATTGCGAGTCAAGTTACTCGTCGTTAAAAACGATAGTTGATCGACACTTTTTGATTCTCTGATATATTACTAAGCGTTTATATTTATAAAATATCTGATTACGATATTTTTCTATTGCTTATGAGAGGAAGTGGAAATGTAAGCACATGGTAAGTTAATCTTTATCTTCTCACAGTATATTCACGAATATTAGATTTTTCTTTTGCATAAACCCCATTATAGGAATACTTATGTATATGTTTGTAGATTAATAATAAATAATTGATTTGGTTTTATGTCTTCAAATTAGCATTCTTTTTTATTTTAATCGTTGAATATTTGATTACTAGTACACTAAATAAAAC